ACGAGTGGAATGCACATTTATTCTCACAGGTTTTATTGTTTTTCGGGGCCTTTACACACTGAATGGAATAATATAAATATATATAACTGTGCAGTTTCGAGGTGAAGCTACGACAAGAAAATATTTCTCGAGCCCAAGTAGCTCGATGGTAACGTCTCTGACTGCAGGCAGCACTGGATGATGTGGGTTCAAATCTCAGAAGGGACATGAGTTCCTTCAAGGTTGCAGGTATGCCTTGCTGACTGGTGTGTGCCAACTAGCACGAAACCTAGGTCAGGTACGGCTTCCTTCCGATTGCCTCCAACCATTTAATATCAATAATTCAAAGTGCACCATGATTGTGGGTCACCTAACATGGTGGCCACATTTCAAACCTGGCTGATAGAATCCAGTCTGTACCAAACAAAGGACTAGACACTTTGTACTATTTACCTGCTAGTGTCTAATCAAGAAAATTCTTCATTGACCAAGTATCTCTTTTAATGAAATCAAATAGAACCAAATAGGCGTGAATCATCGAACGTAGGTGATTGTTGTTCTAGTTCAGCAATGTCCAACAGTTTTCATTAACAAGTTGAACAATAATCAAGCTCATATCCGTCAATCCTCAATCGATTCTTAATCGCCATACTGTAAGAACTCAGTGCTGATCAGTTTTGAATATTTTTCAAAAGGTATGTTGACTCTCGATCACTAAATGGATGTCTATAGCTTCAGCTACGCATGATAAACGACTTCAAAAGGTTGTATAGAATATATTAATTGCCATCAAGAATAATAAATATGACATTCAGATGACAATTATAAGAATCCAATTCATCAGATACATAGTTCAATGGATTAATTTGGCAATTAGTGAGGAAAACATCTCGCATATAGAGACCTAAATAGCGAAAAGCTGCATGGAGCGAAATTAACAGAAAGCCTAATTTTCACTATTACTGTTAATGGTGATATTCAAATAGTTTTCAAGTTTGAATAAAGCAAGAACGACAAATCTACCAGGACAATCTCAGCTCAATTTTTAATTTTTATTATTTCATGGATTCCACTCAACAGGCTACAGCCTGAACAATACCAAAACTATAAATTAAATTAAACATCTGAACATACTTTCACTTTCACAATGATAAGGATTAATTGATTGGAACTAAGAGTAAGTAACGTTGGTCAGAAATGATGTAAGTTGTAAAACGACTAGGAGAGTGAAAGAATTTCACGACTAAGCTTGGAAACGAAAGGACAGACAGAGTTACACAGATGTTTTGTGGGTAGAAACAAAGTTTAACTAGAAAGAGTATAGAAAGTAGTAGGTTACGTAACCACAGAAAAGAAACACGCTTTTATATAATAGATACAAGGGGTGGGGGTAGGCTGAATAGTGTTTAGACGAAAACAACAAGGTTCCTAAACAGGACGCAAGATGACGTAGTGAAATTTGTATGCATCGTTATCACCAGGGCAGTGCAAGATTCACCACTGTCTCTTTCTGCGTACATATATTTGGTTTTAGCAATTGATTGATTGCGATTGCCTCAGCAAAACGAAGCAGACTAGGTTTCTTTTGTCTGCTGATTATTTTGAACTCCTTCAGATTGTCCACAACATGGCCAGTGTCCAGTAGATGGCGTGCAGTCGCACTGTTTGACGCTTGTGAGCCTTTTAGTCTGTTATTAGGCTCCTTCGAATGAGTTCAGAGATGTGGACAATAATTCTTCTCTCTGTTCTTCCAATGTATTTGCTTTGGCACGTATATGTAAATTGGTGGACGCAGTTGGAGGGAACATGAGGTGGGAGTTTGTCCACTTTTGACTGTCTTAAACAACTAACTGGTCGTTTTATAAACGCATACAAGCTTGGCAGCTGGATATGTTCTTTTTAGGGCAGCGTTCAGTGTGCATCTTATTCTACTAGCAGTATCGTCACCTTTGAAGGCAAGCTGTAGAAAGATGGGCTTTTTCTCTACTGTGTTGTACTTCACCTTGTCAACACTACGTTTTCCATGTTTGTCAATGAACTTCTGTGGGTAACCATTATCACTCAGGCATTTTTGAACAGTGGATAGTTCTTCCTCGACTTTTCTTTTGAAAAAAGCTTGCTTACACTATCAAACAGTGTTCTCACCAATCACTTTTTGTAACTTATCTGGGGAGAAGCTTTTGAAGTTTAGGTAGATCGGCCTTCAGATGTCCTTTCTATAGGTGTACCTCACGATTTTTCCATCCTTATCTTCGTTGTCTTTCTAGTTAAACTTTGTTTCTACCCACAAAACAACCGTTCAACTCTGTCTGTCCTTTTGTTTCCAAGCTTAGTCATGAAATTCTTCCATAAATAGTTGATCCTTTTCACTCTCCTAATCGTTTTACAACTTACATCATTCCTGACCAACGTTACTTACTCTTAGTTCCAATCAATTACTCCTTATCATTGTGAAAGTGAAAGTATGTTCAGATGTTTAATTTAATTTATAGTTTTGATATTGTTCAGGTTGTAACCAGTTGAGAAGAATTCACAAAATGATAGAAATAAAAGCATGAGCTGAGATTGTCCTGGTACATTTGCCATTCTTGCTTCATTCTAATTTATTCATGGGAACAACTGTGTGAACCTTTTTAGTTATTTATAGTATTCTATTGAAGCTGACCATTACGTTTACTGTCACATTGCACTTCACGGACTCTTCGAGAACTCTGGAAGCTATGGATTGCTGAAAACACTTCAAATGATTAAAAGTGATCATTATGAATTTCAGAAGGCTGGTTAGTGAAGAGAGAGTTTCTGAAATGAAACGATCAACTTCATGAAACAGTCAATACGTTGGATTTCACTGATAATGATATCATGAAGACGCAATCGAAAAGAATATTCTTTGTTTTTAAATCCAGTTCTTTCAAATTTATTTACACAACTTTTAATTTTGCAAGATTCTGATTGAATTTATATTACTGAAATGTTCACAGTATCATGTTACCTTCAACATGCCTATCTCTAAACTACTGTTCATGAATAATCGCCATCCACACATTAATGAAAACAAAACATGTAGTTTAGCGAAGAGTCTTTTTTCGATGAATTCAGAATCGCAAATATATATGGGTTATTTTTCAATTTCCTTGACCGTTTTTGTATTACGTAACTCCACCCTGTTTAATTAAAATAACCATAACCAATTGTATTTTTGTTTGACAAACTTAATGTACGCATACATACAAAATAAACTATTGTTATCGCTGACAGTATCATTACTATTGTTATTATTGTCATTCTGATGAAGCCAATTTTTTAAAGTATATTGGTGATCTTAATGTTTCTTTGCCTGTTTCTCGAAGTTAGACTGTTCCAAAATGAATAGCTTTTTATCAAAAATAAGTTAGTGATCCTTGTCAGCTGGTCTTAAGCTAAATCCCTTCAAATGTCAGACTGTTAATCTCACTTTCAGATGCATACATGACGTACACAACCTGGTTGGTTTACACGATTTCTATATCACAGAAGGCATCGAATTTCAAAACAAACTGAATGTTAAATAACTTGGATTACGACTTTCCTCTGATCTTTCCTGGTCTAAGTATATTATATTAATTGTTGGAAAAAATATTTCATCTAACAGTCTGGTATCACTTAGTCTCTCTAATTTTTGGGGTTGTTAATTCTTCGCCTAATGTTTCCTGGAATACTTTAGAATGACCTTGTTATACTAAGAAGGGTACCAAAAGCTGTTGATAAGTTGAGTTGGATGTCACTAAGCCAACTCGTTAGGATTATTATGGTTAGACACATGAACTCATTTAGGAAATAGGGAAATATTCTCCTGTCACACTTTCAAAACCCTCTCTGTACGCAAGTCAAGTAGGACTAGAAGCATTCATAAAGGACTTTATGCTCCCACGATAAAGTAGCAAAACTCAGAGACACCTTATTTGGCATGCATTTCACGTAATGAGGAAAGTGCTGGTTGTTTCCTTGACCTGAACTTTAACCCTTGGTGTGTGAGGTATCTTCCTTATCGGTTGGTAAATTTCGTCTACCTCGATGTGTCTATTGATTGATGATTCACTGGAATACCAGGCTTCTAAAAATTCTCTGACATTCTTGGTGTTTCCTCTCTCTAACGTTTGAACATTGGTTGTCCCAGTCGAGCTGATATCTGTGGTTGTCTGTATGCGGCGATATGAGATAGAGAGTGGATGTCATGTCTTTTGACGTCTAGTTTATGTTCATGGATGCGAAGAGGACGAAGCGGACGTCCACTTTGGCCAATGTAGTGTTTTCGCAGTTGTTACAATTTATTTTGTAGATGATGTTGGTTTTATCTTCTTTCGTTGTTGAGTCTTTTGGTTGACACAGAGCCAGCTGAGTGAAGTGATTTTGTTGGTTTGTGTGTAACATCAATTCCTAAAGGTTTCACGAGTCTTTCAGTGATTTCTGAGATGTCCTTTATATATGGTAGGGCAATTATCTTTGTGCTTTCCTTAAGGACCTTTGATTCGATAGGTTGGCTCGGGGGTATATGAAAGCTTCGCAAATTAACTATCCAGCTCAGAGATAACAACCACATCAAAATCATCCACCTGAGCTACAAATCTTCTCCATTTTATCTAAATCTTACGAGTAGTACATGTCTAAACCACCGAAGACAAGTGAAATCACTCAATGAAAAATGACCTCTAGTGTGTACACATACACGCCGCTTAACCTCTAAATTACTTACATTAAAGATATTATCGGATACCAGCCTTTCTACTGATGAAGCGGCTATCAAATACGCACAGACGTCACGGCGAAGCGTGGGTAAGACTGAGCACACCAATGCATTCTAATTCAACTTCTGACAGACAGACTATTGTTGCGATGGCAATAAAGATGGCCCAAGGTTGGCATATGCCAAACAGCATAACTAACAGCATTATAGGTATAGACGTTTGGAAAGAAACATTACTGATAATAAAACATAAGTACTACTAGTACTAGTATTAATAGTAATAATAATCCAAACTCACCTTATATTCTTGTTCTCCCCTACTTGCTTGTTATATCAATGATTCAATCAATAAAATTTCTATTTTCATTTATCTATGTTGTTTTATGCTGATTTTGTAAGCAGGCAGTAAATGTATATAAATGTTTACAAATAAGTTTTTGTACTTGTTTATTTCAATGAATTTGAGTAGAGTATAATCCGACAATTAAATGTATACGAGTAATTTAGAAAACAATAAAATTCTGACAAATATCCAGACACTTGAAAATGTCGAGGCGAAAGGCAATGTGAATAATTGTTGTACCAAACTAAGTATTATTTATTCAGTCAATACATGCAATATAAATACTTTGGTTTCATAAGAGTGAGAGACAAACACACACTGGTAGACACATAAAAGGAACCAATCACGTTTGAGTTAGTCACATTGATGAAATCATCTAAATCGATTCGGCAATTCACAAATTAATTAGTAATTTATGATTTACTCGGTTCAAAGAGGTGAAATTACACCACAGTTCCCTTTAAAAACCAAAATTAATCAGATCACGATAGCATAAGTGCTAATCGAGAAAAACAAGCGTAAACGCGTGAGACTATATACAACTGATTGATTGATTGATTGATTTAGGTGAGTAGTTGTCTACCACCGACATGAAGCATCAGAAGTGTTAGCTACAAAGATCCAGGTGATGTAAACACCACATGGCGGTTTCTCTCGTCTCGGCCAGAGGTCATCAGCAGTCTACACAGTTTAACTGAGGTCAGAGAGCTGAATTAGTTGAAAGTAACCGATTTGTGACACTTGGTTCATATTAATTATTTAATTCAATTTTATATTTTCCCATCGATTGATTGGACCGAAGTTCTCGGTCTCATGTTGCACAAGAGGTGGCTCTCTTGGCCCAAGTGCTCTAGTGGATAACGCTTTGGTGTTTGAAACTATGGGCACTACGTTCGAGCCTCATTGGTGGGAACATCATCACTCACTGGGGAATGCAAGCATATCCAGATGACAAGTCTCAGATAGGACGAAATGTGCATCCTGGATTCCACTGATAGTCACCATCCATCAATTAGTTTAAAGCTATATTTTCCTACTGTTGATTTCCAGAGGTTATATACACATGGAAAGAAGTGATCAGTTTTATTTTGCTTCTTCTGATTCACTAACATCAAGTTACTTGTTTGGTTGTAATTGACACTGAAATCCAGGACGCGCTGTTTCTTCCTACTTGACTGATGATGTTGACAATGTGGCTTGAGATCAGGAAGGATGTTATTGTCTGCTAGATATCTGAGCTACAAGAGACTCCAAGGTAGGGGGTGTATCCAGTTAACGGGTCCTTGGTTAGAAAAATGATGCCTTCCACATTCCGTTGCTACGCATCCGTAAATAGTGAACTTAATTAGAAGTTTAGGTGAAAATATCAAAATTAGACACTGAGTCATGAAGAAAATTTTCTTTATCGTGATTAACTTCAGAGGCTGAATCATCTTTTATTTTCTCCTTTACTCAGTGGATATTTTCGGTCTCTGGAAAGGAAGTAAAATCTCTGGGATAATGAAAGAAATTCATACCATTTTAAGTCTTCTGTTAGTTTTGCCATGGAAATTACGAGAATCACCTTTCTGAAAAACAGCATAAATAAGAGAGAATATCTCAAGCAATACTGGAAATGTCTTAGTCACAGTCATATACCACTAAATCATCGCTTCTTGAAACATCACACGCTGCATATAATTGATGAAACAGAATACTGACTACCACAGGTAGAAAGGAACACTTCATTTGGAACACACGCTTTATTCAAACTCTCAGAAGAATAACAGTAGACTACATCAATTCAGTATCAGGAAGATATTTTGTAGATGTGAATCCCAAATAGTCTCAAAGCAGGTGATATTTGTTCGGGTTTTCCTAGCATACAAGATAATTATGTTTTCAGTTATTCCAGTATATCACATATTCCAATCTATATGGAATTTTTGTCATCGGGCCCAGAATTCCGTGACACTCAGGATATAAAAGTTCATTTAGAAGGGCCAATCAAATCGCTTGAATAATTTAAGTCAACAGTGTTGACCAATTGTCATCAGTATGTTAACATCAAACTAAAAGCCAAACGACTGATCTTAGCTGAGCGCAGAAAGCAACTATGTGAGATTTTGAGAAATAAAGACCTGCTGCTGATCCATCCAGATAAAGATGCTGGCAACGTCTTATTGAATTGTCAAGACTATCCTATCCATCATTTTAGAGGAAATTAAATTTTCATAAGAAACCAACCAGAAGGATCAAATTGAACAAATTGTAGGAAAGGTAACAGAAACACTCAAGGAAATGAGAAATAAATCAATCGTTGGCTCCAAATTATTTGAGAATCTGCAGTCCTAGGCTTCTGCAAATTCTCCAGTTATATGATCTCCTAAAAGTGAACAAAGAGAACTTACTACTACGGTCAAGTATGGATATGACAAATTCAACATACAGTGCTACTACCAAATGGTTCGTAGAGATCCTTCTACCTACCAAAAATAATTCCCTTTATCATAGTGTGTCAGATTAGTTTGATATATATCCGGAAAGAGAATATTTCCCCTACATTTTCCGTCTCTCCTCATCAATGACCTTATTGAAACTATTTTCTTTGTATACAAATTCATCGACGATAATAATTTGTACGTAGGTGTTCTGATCCACTAATGGAAGAAACTACTGTTGAGATGTACTTTCAATGTTCAATTATGTTTCACTGGTACTCTATACAGATAAAAGAGAGGGTAACAGTGGGATCAACACTGGATCCTTTCTTTCAGACTGCTTCATGACAAGTCTGGCAAATAATATGTTACGACTCACTATTGAAAATTTTCATATGTATGAAAGATGCATGAATGATACTTTCATCATATGTGACAAGAATGATGCCATCGAAATGACAACAAAAGGGGTCCAACAACCACTACTATTCTGTGATTTTGTTTTATTTTAGAGACCAATTTTGAGTAACTACATGAATTATGACACTCTCTAGTACTCAACAATAGACTAATACACGTTTCTAGTAAACAGATATACAATTGTACAGCCTCTGAAAATGAATTCGTCCAAAGAGATAGTCTATTGACAAATGTTATTTTGTAGAGATTTGGCCTGTTCCAAGTTTGACCACGGATTAATATTAATTAAAGAACCAATGGAAAACCATAGACTACTAAACGGCTCTTTCGTCCTAATTTGTGACTCTTCATCAGTATGCACGAAATTAGGACTAGCACTGATATGAGTATACTTTGTATGAAAGAGAATTGATTAGTACATTTCATTGGTTGTACATGAGCAGAAACAGCACCAGAATTATACAAAGAGGGAACAAAAATAATCTATTTTCAAGACGGTTTGTAAGGATTAGATTCGTTTTTACGAGTTTGACCATGGGTTGATATCAGCTAGAGAACCATTGAGAACCAGCACCGGAGTACTGGACAGCCAGCTGTTTCGTCTACCTACTTTGAGATCCATCGGCAGTATGCACCCACTGGGGCTGGAACGCAGGAATTTCCGGTTACAAAGAAAGCTCGTATACCCTTCAGCGCTAAATCACCAAGTGATAGAAGTTAGAATTCATGGGCTATCGAAATGGGTCCCAGTGTCTGAATGGTATACGAGCTCGCTAGTCTTGTAACCGGAAGGTCCTAGATTCGAAACCCAGTTGGTGCATACTGCCGATGATTCCTAAGCGAGGATGGAACAGCTGCCCAGTACTGCTAGCTGGTTTTCAATGGTTCTCTAAATGATATCATTCCCTGGTCAAGCTCGAAAATACATCAATTCCTTACAAACCAAATCTTGAGGATTCAAATAAGCAAGAGTGATGAGTGAATCCCATAAAAACAAGAATCATAGGTTTGTCCCAAAAATTATGTTTTTATACACAATACGGAATTGTCACTATAACTGCTTGCGGAATATTTATCCTCCATAAGAAATCTCCAAGCAAAATATTCATTGATAGTATATCTTGAATGCTGCAACATCATTCTATCTCAAACATGACTTAACCCTCTGCAACCCTTTTCTCTTCATTTTCTTTTTTTCAAGCTTTCATCTGTTTTGCAAGTTTGACTAGGGAATGATATCAGCTAGAGAACCGTTGAGTACAGAACAGCCTGGCTTGGGATCTATTGGCAGTACGCACCCACTGGTTTTCGATCACAGGATCTTTCGGTTACAAGACTAGCGAGCTCGTAGACCATTTAGCTACTGGCACGCGACTTTTCAATGGCTAGCCCATGAATTCTAACTTCTACCAATGCGTAATTTTAGTGTGACTGGCACCAGCCAATGTCATCGTTGGCGGGCATTTGTCCTCAGGCCCGACAGGCGGAACCCCACTGGTCTTTATTTTCTCTCTAAAGTGCACATGTGGTAAGTTGAAAATTGATCAGAAATTTCCTTGAGTTTGTGGTGCGAAACACAGAAAAGTAGATGCAGTATATGGCAAAGAAATTCGAGTAACCACACGGTCTAAACAGGCCGTTAGTTTCATTAGCCTAGTGTCAAATTACAATTAAGCACACTTTCATAACACTTACCTGTACACTTACATTGCTAGCTTTATGGATAAATCTGAGTAAACATTGAGGATTGATTTGAGTATATGTATATGAATACGTGAAATTTAGGGAAATGAATATGTTTTTCAGTCTTTTGGAAAACTTTATTAACTTGTTTGTCTCCATTACTTTAAGTAAGGTTGATTTGAATTTTTTTAAACTGAAGAAATATAGACTATGTGGGGTTAAATTTGTGTTTTGAAATCAGTTCCAACCTGCGTCAGTTCCCTCAGTAATGAGGGAAACTTTACCATAGATTTTGTCAAGAACCGACACTATTTAGACAGCCACTGTAAAACTGCATAGCACTGGACACCATTGTTCCCATGTTTGTAAGTCCTCTGCAGTTTACAAGCGTCACTTTAGCAGTGATAGAACTCGCGTATACTAGGTTACCATCTGAGCCCGTTTATTATTCAGTTACTGGGTGGATACCCTGTTACCTACGAATTCTAACATTCGTCAGTTAGGCTTAAATAGCACCACTGCTGGTGAATATCCGAGCTCACGCTGGATCCATTGGTCTAACTTTGTCATAAATTCTATTTGTAACTTCAGGTGTTCTGTCTTGTAGTCAGTCACTACCGAAGAGAAGATTAATCATATCACTAAAATTGCCATACCTCAACACTTGATAAAAAATTTTATTTGTTCTATCCTTATTTACAGCTCTGAAATTATATTAGTAT